AGTTTTTCATCTCCTGGAAATCTATTTGCATCTTTTTTATGGATTCCATTTGTTTCCTATGTTGGGATTCCATCTTATTCCTCAGCTCCTCTCTAGATTTATTAATCATGTCTTGCACTATGAGCACAATCTCTGCTGTCATCTGAGAAATTACTTCTCATTTCATTTTTTCCAGATCCTCTTTTGTTGCCAGTTCAGTGGTTCCAAGTGGTTGAGTATTAGAGTGTTCCATCTCATTTCCCTTTGGGGTTGCTGTAGGTGATGTGGAAGTCTGGTTTTGAGACTTATTTATGTGTTTTCTCATTTTGACCTGGAGGGGGGTGGGCGCGGTGCTGTTGGTGCCCACGTGGCTCACCTCCTCTGAGCTGGGAGAAGTGGTACAGTGGCTCAGAATCCCCTTCCTCTGGGCCAGGAGTAGTGGGTTGGAAAGTGGCCCAAAAGCCCTTTCCTCTGGGATGGGAGTGGCAGGATGGATGGTGGCCAGGAAGCCCCTTCTTCTGGGCCAGGAGCAGTGGGATGGCTGTTCAGAAGCCCCTACCTCTGGGCTGGGTGCGGTGGCATGGATGGCAGCCTGGAAGCCCCTTCTGGGCTGGGAGTGGCGGGTGTGATGGAGGCCCAAAAGCCCTTTCCTCTGGGCTGGGAGTGGCCTGACATGGATGGTGTCCAGGAAGCCCCTTCCTCTGTGCTGTGAGCAGTGGGCTGGATGGTGGCCCAGAAGCCCCTTCCTCTGGGCCAGGAGCAGTCACTTTTATCATTCTTGTATTTATTGTTAAGAATTACACTCAAAAATAAAATTATCCTGAAAATTTAATGAGATTTTCTTTCTATTTAAGCCTATATATACTCCTGTTCGCCTAAGCCAAATCATTCCTGCTCTTAGAGACTGTCTTTCCTTTCTTCATCCAGGCTGATGAAGAAATATACTCTAAAATCAATTAAAAATTTAAAGTCATTCAAGCTTATTTCAGTATACCACCTGAAAGTTATAAACTAACAGTTTGGCTATGTTTCTATTTGCCTTTCTAAAAATTAAAATGTATAATAGCGAAAATTAACAAACTAAACTCTTCAATTTCTATATTTGAGTTCTCAGATTGTCACATAATTATCTTTAAAACCTTAACAAATCTAACAAAAAATCTTTAAACATCATTTTAAATCTTGATTAACAAATCAAACTATTTTATTTTGTATTTTCTTCTGATATTGTGTTATATATATATATATTTTTACATAAAAATCATTCATCTCCTGGAAATAATTTATATTTCTTTATTCTTATTTCATAGGACCTTGTAGTACTTATCATGTTACATAGTCTCATAATATTTTAATGACTGCATAGCATTCTATTGATATTAATATGCCATATTATCATTGCCAATATGTTAACTGTCAGTGTTCATTCTATCTCTCTCCAAGGAAGAGGAGACACATACAATTCATGAACCACAACTCAATGAAAATATTTCCATTGGCATAAAATCATCAAGAAATAATTACACACATATAATAAGAACATTGTAAGGTTTTAACAGCCATTTAAAAATTATCTTTAAGATTTTCAAATTTCAAAAAGCATGTAATTTACTTCACTGTGTAAAGTGTATAAAATTCAAATGAGTTTTGTGGGATTCTTTAAAATATATTTATATCCCTAATTATAATGAAGCTAAAATCTTTTCTTTACCTGAATAACTTCCAAGTCTTGGAGCATTGTTGTCTCCTCCATCATAAAAGTCCAGAGAGTCCCAGTTGTGTTCTGTGGCGAAGCTTACCACTTGCACCTGTGAGGAAAGATCTGTTGATTAGAACACAGACTTCTAATCGAATATATGTGCTTAAATCTACCCATTCCCTGTAGGACAGGGATCTCTACCACTGGAGGGCGCCACTGCGACACTTAGCTGAAGGTTTTTAGCAGAACTCTCACCGTTATTGTTGATGGCCCTACAAGAACTGACTGTCATAAAAGCCTTACAGAGAACCCAACAGCGTTTGAGTATAACACAGAATGTCTGCCACCATCTCAGAGTATTCTCTTCATTAAAAGTCTTGGGTTCATCTAACGACGCGTTAAGAATCCCAAAGCAATTTCCAAATGACAGGTTACCTTTTTGTTCTTTTCTGAGTGTTAGAATCTTGTCTGTGATTGAGTTTTCTCACTTGCTTTAATAACTAGAAAATAATCAGATTGGTGGTCTATGAGCATAAAGGACCTGATAATATACATTTTATCGAGGTTCTTTCCTGCATAAACTTAGTTCAATTTCTCCTCCACCTTTCAATTTTTAGCATTATCATCACCACCGGTGCACGTGTTTAATAGGTCTCAACAGAGACAACCCAAAGCAGATTCAAATGCAACTCTCAGATGATTTGCACAAATGGGGTCATAATAATTAAATCACCACAAAGATCCAGAAAGTTTAGAAGGGAAATGCTGTGGTTCAATTTTCTCATGTCCTTTAAATTTTATTTAAAGAAAGAGACATGTGTTACTTTGCTCACATCACTTGGCACAGCTTGAGCCTTTCAAAGAACCCACAGGACCCTCAGGAATGAGGGCACGGTCTACTCAGCTCTTTGTTTATTAAGTGCTTTGTAGTTTTAAAGAAGGAAAAGGAATAACTTTATTAAGTTAAATTTGATTTATGTAGGTAAATTCTATTATAAATGCAGGCACTACCCTCATTTACTACATAATTGCAATAATTTGGTTCATTAAACATTTGTCATGTGTAAGAGCCCATCATCGTTCTTCCATTCAAGTGAATGCTGGCAGTCCTTTTCCGGGGCGAGTGCCACATGGCAGTAGACATCCTGCCTGTGTGGCTGGCTTTAGACCTGATGGCTCTGCTCCAGGACAAGATGAAAACTAGAATTAAAGCTATATGTTTGTAATACAATCAGCACTTCCTTAAATGACGAACAATTCCCTCTTCATATCTGAAGTTTTTAGATTGTGTTACTAAGAAAAAATGTAAAGAGTCAAGGAGGAGTTGACAGTTGGGTTTAGTTTTAAGGTAATAAGAGGTTTTCTGCTGAAGGAAATTATCGAGCATATAAAAATGTAGATGAGGAAAATCATGAGCTGGATTTAGTGAACCATAAGTAATCCAATTTAGCCACAGTGGAGGGTATTTACATAAGAGGAAATATGCATGCAAAATTAGAAAAAGCATAGAAAATCTAAAAAGAATAGAGCTTAAATGATAAATACAAGAGACTGTGGAATAGAAGAGAATGTCTGGGTTTGCAACTCCTTGGCTCCCTCTCCTTGCTGGCATATCACATTAGGAATGCTGTTAATCTCTCTGCGCCTCAGATTATTTACATTAATCATTGTAATTAAGGTATCTAATTCATGGATTCATTGTAAAAATTAAATTAATTAATATGTATAAAAGTCTTAGAACAATTTCTAGTGTATATCCAGGACTCAGTGAATCTAGGCAAAGAGATTGAACAAGACATTCATTAAAGATTGAATATCAAAATAATTATGCACTTGAAGCTATAATTATACTGTCAGTGTTGCACTAAAGATTTTAGAAGTGGGAGGAGGAACAGAATCAAGACTATACTTCATGTACAACACTACATTTGGTGAAGGTAATAAAAGGGGAAAATTTCAATGCCTATTGTGGTAATATTTTAATGTCTATTGCAATGAGAAAGAATGAAATACTAAATTAATCAGAGGGAAGAAGAGTAGAAATAAAGACCAAGTGATGGGCACTTGGGCTTTTTCCAAGATAACTTGAAGTAGGAAGAAAAGGTGCAAAGGGATAGGGGAAGTGGGAGGGGAAGGGGAAAGGAAAGAAGGGAAAGAAAAAATTATTAGAAAAGAAAAAAATGGAAACAAAGTCTATGTAAATAGGGAAGGGTGAAAGCGGTGAAGGGAGGGCAGGGGAATGGGGGAAAAAATAAGAACCAAGATATATCATGTACAGTTACAAGCACCCAATGATAAATGTAAATGTATTGTATACCTAAAATGTACAAATCAAAGAATTTAAGAAAAAAAAAAAAAGAAGACCACAGTGGCACTTATATTGCTATGATGGAAGTTGCTGGATTTTGTGTGAAGTGAACAGGAAAAGGAGAAGTAACACTTAAGAATAATTTATTTTCTTTTGTCCTCTAAGTTATTAAAAGCAGAAAAATGGCAAGAACAAAAACAGATATTTCCATGAAAACCTACTACAAGTACAAAAGGAAGAAATTCTGGATATATTGAGTAGAAAGTTGAACAATGGCTCCCCAAAATATCAGAACCTAATCCCTAGAGTCTGCAAATAAACTTTATATGGAACAAAGTCCCTCAGATGTGATTAATTTGAAGATGTTAAGATAAAAAGATGAAGCCAAAGTCTCAGACAGAAGAGGAGAAGGCAATATGACCACAGAGGCAGCAGTTGCAATGATGTGGCCAGAAGCCAAGGCCTGCAGGTAGCAATTCCATGTTGGAAAGGCAAGGAGGAAATTATCCAGAACCCAGAATGGTGGTAAATCTATCGGTATTTTGATTTCAGTGCCCCAAAGCTGGTCTGGGACTTCTGGCTTCTGGAACTGTGAGAGAATAATTTTCTGTTGAAACCATCAAGTTTATAGTCATTTGTTACAAAATTCACAGGAACTGAGTACAACTCGCCACAAGAATTCTGGGAAGATACTATGTATAATAAAATCATAGAGCGTTTAAAAGCATATGACCAGAACAAATAGCAGGTGGTGCTAAGAAATCTGTTAAGAGATATAAGTAAACGGTTGTACACCTACTACAACAGAAGCCAAATGAGAACCAAGTAAAGAATTAAAATATTAGCTACTGATTCAGGATTCAGATGAACATTACATTGGATGGAGTTATCTATGATTGAAATAGGATATTTTTATGAGGTAATAAACGTTCAATCATTAAAGCCAGGCATCTTTCCTTCAGATGTGCAAATCTCATTTTACTTTGCTTGGAAAATTCTGTAAACCTCTGATGACAATGCTATATATTCACACAATGACATGCCCAACATTTTCCCCCATGATTTTGGATCTAATGATTCTTTTCTTTTTAGCATATGTGCTACCAAACTGAGCACTAAAGATTCTTTTCTTGTTAACTAATACTGTTAGTGTTCAGCGTAGTACCCTTTGGAATTCTACCCCTAATACTCTACTAAAATAAACAAGCAAACAAATACTCTACTAAAATAAAGAAGAAAACAAATGATTTCATTCCTCCTCATAAACTTCTCGTGTAATATTAAATTAACAAATTGGTGTATTTGTTGATGTAATTTCCAAAGAGTGTTCAATCATTCTAAATTATTGTAATTTTTCAACATCTAAAATAGTTCTTTTTTTTCCACCAATGGCCATGCTATTTCATCTGTAATTTACTGAATAGTCATATAATTCTTTAATCAAACACATACTGAACTCCCTCCCCAGCATTAAATTTTGCTTTAAATCTTATGTATCTGTAAGGTAACTTTTAGTGGAAGTTAGTGAAATTTCAAATATGTCATATATTATGTGTATGAAGGAGTTTGTTACCATTTTGATTTAATGATTTGCGTAAAAGTAGCAACCACATAAAAGCTAAATTGAAAAAATGGTCAATATCTTTTACAGTGTTTAAAAATCCAATACACTATAAGTTTGCTAAACATTGTGCTAAACTCAAATGTTGTTTTCTGAAGTGTAATCAGTAAGTAATATACTTGAAAGATTTTATAGTGTCATTGGTATGTGTCCAGTTTTGAGTAGTGTTTGCCAAAGGCAAGTGATACACAGTATAGTTTATCTGTGAATGTCTTCGTAGCTCATTAAATTATATTAACTTTCTAAAATGGTCAAAACTGCACTGCTTGTGGAGGTAGTCAATGATTATTCTAAAAATATTTACTAAGTTTCTACTGCCAGGCCTGTGCTAGCAGCAAGAGCAGACTGGGTTACTGCCCTCATGAGCTTACAGGTAATTAGGTAATAACATTAAAATATGATGAGTGTTATGATAAAGAAATTACAGGGAGCTTTGAGAACATATAGCAAGGGAACTTAACCTTTTGTCAAGTTCAAGAAGGCCTATCACAGGAAGTACATTTAAGTTGAGACAAAAATAATGAGCCAGATTAAGCCAAATAGAGAAATTGGAGAATGGTGTAGGTAAAAGAAACCATAGGCACTGAGTCCCCTGCCAAGAGAAAGCCAGACTTATAAAAAAAAAACAAGGTGAACTGAAGGGGCCAGGAATGAGAACAGGACAAAGGTCACTGTGTCTTAAGGAGATGAAGGACAAGTGATGTATTGTAAGTACGAAAGTGGTAGCATTAGATTTAAAGTTTCACAAAGCTTCACTATTTGCCCTCTGGGAATGGACTGGGAGAGAACCAGAACCAGGGAAGGTGGCCGCCTGGGCTTGTTCAAAGAAAGTGTGGATGGAGGGCAGTAGACTTGTTTGAAAGGCTTCCGAAAGACAAACATGACACATTTTGTAATGCAGAAGACAGACAATAAAACAGGATTTCTGGTTTGGGCAACTGAGTAAAGGAAGGGGTCATTACGTGACAGAGAATACAAAGAAAATCTAAAATTTTGACAAAAAAATGCAAGAAGTCGTTTTTGGGCTTCAAACTTGAGGTTCCAATAAGAAGGAGGGGTGAAAATACACAGTGGGCAATTGTAAATTACATAAGTTCAAAAAGCTGATTTTTTAAAAATAAAAAGTACACTTTTAACTGACTTCAGGCAGTTGGGTTGGTTGGTTGGTTATGGTTTTGGAGGGCTGGTTTGTGGTGCTGAGATCAAGCCCAGAGCCTTGAACATGGGAAGCATGCTCTTTACCCCCAGCAGTACCCCAGCCCCAATTTCAGTTTCAATGTATTGTGTCTTGGTTACTTTTACCATAGCCATCATGCATCTCCTGTTCCTACAGTCAAACCTTATGAATCCAGTAGAGAAGCAAGCATGTTATTTTTATGCTCCACACAAGCTATTCGATTGCTGTGGAGTATGCACTGACTCTGTAGTAAGATGACATCAATTCATACAGCAACAGTCTCTTTGTAAAACAAAAGAACTGGCAGAATTTCTCAAGGGAAAAAAATGGTCAGTATTAAAACACCCAGGTAGACACTGCGGACTGCCTATCTATAGAGAGCTGCTTCTCTTCCTCAGAGACTTGGCTTAGTTCAATTAAATGAGAAATGTGTACATGAGAGGAAGCCAAGCTGGTTGCCCACTGAGAACTGACTCCATATACTTAATATTGATTTATTGAGTCAAACCATTGTAAATTTTCATCTGTTGACTAAGTTAATGGTTTAGGAATGGACACAATTTCAGTTTTGTTCAATAGGACATAAGGCAAAGGCTGCTGGCAGGTCTCAAAAATTTTCTTAAACACTGAAGAGTTGTACATCAAACAGGGACAGTCTACTTTGGCTACTGGTCATTGTTAAGTAAGGCTATTATGGCTAGAGAGTTGCAGCCCTCTCAAGAGCCCATGAAAGGAAGACCAAGAAATGAGCTCAATATGGGAATGAATGTAGAGCACAGCTATGTAAATAACTGAGGTCAAGAATGACACAACAGAAACCCTAAAATAAACAACATTCGAATCATCTTACCTCAAGATCCCATGATAGGTGAGGCAGCATAGTTTTTGTAACCTTGTCCAATATTAAATTTTATTTCTGCTACTTGCAGGTGAAAAATTATTAATAATAAATATCTTTCTACTAAATTATTAAAAGCAGTCATGTCAGTCAAGACCATTTGCTAGACTTTTAGAAATGATATTCAATCTGCCATCTCTGAAAATATTAACTTCAAGGGCACAATGAAAAGAAGAAAAGATGAGATATCCATACTTGAATGCCAGCTCCCTCTGGCACTGTGATCTTCCACACACAATTCAGATTGTTGTCATAAGGCTCAGGATATCCAGGAGACAAAATAGTCCCTTTGCGCTTAGTTAAAATTCCTCCACAGGGCACTAAAAGTAAAGCAGCAGAAAAGAGGGAGTTAATTCTAATGCAAAGGTTTAAACTAAAATTAAAGGTCAGAGATAACATCTCAAGCAGATAGTGGACTTACAAACCAAATAAAATTGTACCATTTTCAAAAATCAAAAGAACAATGAAAATTAAGTCTTTCCTACAAAAATACTTCAAAAAAATTAGATAGCATAAATGGATGACGTTACAGTAGCATATCTAATGGCACTTTCTGCTTCACACATCCTTTGAAGAGGAATCACATTCTCTGAAGAATAATAACGACATGGCAATGATTATGTTATGAACATAACCTTTATCTAGAGCCTACTATATGCCAGACATTCTTCTAAACACTCCAAGTATTTTAACACATTTATGCCTCCCAATAGTCCACTGAGATTTTAGTGACTCTTCTTGACATTCTTCATATGAAGAAATAAAGTTATTAAGAGGTGAAATGTCTTAGCTGGGTTCGGTAGCATACACCTATAACACTGGCTACTCAGGCTTAGACAGGAGGATGGTGAGTTCTAGGCCAGCCTGGGCTGCTTAACAACACTCTGCCCACTCCCTTAAACAAAAACAAAAGCAAAAGCAAAGCAAAACAAAAAATAACAACAGAAAACTATGGATTATGATGTAGCTCAGTGGCAGACACTTGCCTAGCATGTGTGAAGCCATAGGTTCCACCCTTAGTGCCAAAACAAAACAAAAGGTTAAATGTCTTGCCCAAGTAGAAGAAAGAACTGGGATTTGAATCCTGGTAGTTTCAAACTATAGGTACCAATGGTACTTTGTTCTTAGGACATCATTCTAAGTCTACTTATAATGGAAGATGAAAGGACATGCTTTTAGTAATTATTTTTAAAAAGTATATTACAATTGTACGACACTTTCAAAGTCAAATGCAAAATTGAGAAGCAATTACTCAAAAAGTATACTGTAAACTTTTGAATACTATAATTTTTTTGAGAAAGTTCTTTTGTTGTGTTTTCTTATAAATCTATGTTTTTGCTATCTACGGCCTTACCACTTTGAATGCACTTGATCTCATAAATCTACCTTATGGGTTATATACAAACTCAGTTTAAATTGGTTAGAAAAAAATTCAACCACATTAAAAATAAAAACAACTCTCTTACTTGGTTTGAGAATAGTATTCTAGGAACAGAGGAAGAATTATATTAAAGAGTCACTCAAAAATAGAAGAAAAAAGATGGTTCATGGAGTGCTTACACTGGTCAAGTGAAAATGCTTTAGAGGAGTTCTCCCTCTCTACGTACCTCTATGTTGTTCTCATTCTTTTTCAATCAGGCTTTTGTTCTGACGACTATGAAATGGCTATGTATTGAAATGACTAAGGGAGAGTCACTCAAATATTCTTCTTGTGAGATGATCAATATTTAATTTGCATTTTATTCAAACTATGAGCAATTGTTCCCACTGTTGATCAACCCACCAGTGACTTTCTTTGCTTGGTCATCAGGATACTACACTCTCCTGACATTTTGTATGTCATTGGCCACATATGATTTTTTTTTCTTAACTCATCTTCCTTCTTTTGATTGTGTAAAAAACTTCCCCACTCTGAGATGTGGTCCTAGAACACTTTCTAATCACCATGGCTCAGTGATCCCATCCACTTCTACATTTTCTATATACTATAACTACTAAATGTTTATCTCTAGGTATCCCTTGAATTATGCAATGTCCAAGAGGTATCTGAAAATTAATATTCCCCAAATACTTTTGAAATTCTTCTCCATCCACTTTCTCCTCCACCTCAGTATAGGTTATCCGCATTCCCTCTGCTTGTAGGTGATACAACTAAGACTCATCTCTTTTTTACACTCCACTTCATATTTCCATCTTCATTTCGCCTAGAAGTCAACCCTGTCAGTTTTCCTTAGAAATATATCTCAAAGATGATCAATTCTTATCACAAGGATTATGATCTTCCTATCTAAATGATTATTGCCTTTCCTCTACATTGCTGTAGTAAGTTCCTAATCAGTCTTACTGCTTCTATTCCACTCTTTCTTACACTAACTAGAGTGACTGTTTAGAAACTAAGATCACATGACTCCTCCTTCTCTCTTAATACCCACACTACTTAATTTGAACTGGTCATGGCTTTCAAGGTTCCATATGACTGGGGTTTGCTCTGCCTGCCTGAATTCATCTCCCATCACGCTTACCATCATTCACTGTGTTCTTAGTTCTGGCTGTGCTGTGAACATATCAACACTTGCCCTCCCCTCACAGTCCAAACACTTGCTTACCATGAGGACTTTTATGCTTTCCTCCCTTTATTCATTTCCTTCTGGTACAAAACAGCAGCATGTCCTGGGTGTCTTCCTCTGACCCTCAGCACATGATTGACTTGACTGCCTAACACCACTACTTGAAAGCAGACAATGTATTCATTGATGTGTTCTGTGTTCCTCTCAAGTGTAGACTGCATGTCATGGCTTGTGTTTAGAGGTCCCCCCAAAGCTTCATGCTTTTGCAGAGGTCGTTGACTCCAGAGTATGTGACTGATTCATGGTGGGACTAGGCTCCAGGGCACTAGGATTAAAGGCAGGAGTCTACCTGCCCTGAGTCTGAATAAGATAAAAGGGACAGAAAGATGCTAATTAAGGTCCCTTGTTGTTTTTGCTGTCTTCCACTGCCATGAACTGTTGCCCCTCTGCCACTCTGCCTTGGAGCCAGCTGATTATGGACTGAAACCTCTATGAACTGTAAGCCAAATAAACCTTTCCCCATTTTAACTTTGAGTGTCAGGTATTTTGTCTCAGCAGTGAGAGAAAAGAAACTAACACACTGCATAAGTGAAAAAAATCATATATTCCTATTTAGAAACAAGTAATCAGTGCCTAGAATAGTGTCTGACACTCAGTAAGCATATAATACGTGATTATGAGATGAATTGTAGAAGGTTAGGGCATATATCTGTGTTTATAATGTGGTTAAAAGTTGCCTATTTATCAGTAACATCATTTCTATGCCTCAGTATTTTCTTAAGCAAGTCAAATTTGTCAAATTCCATTTTAATCACTTTCATTTTTTAACCAAAAAAGAAAATAACCATAAAATACTCCCAGACATGCATTATCACATAATGTTTTACAAGTTTTACTTCCCATGTACATGACTTAACCTAACATATGCATCCTATTTTTAAAAGATGTATGATAAACTTCCTCTTCTTATCTTTTACACAACAGCACATATGGATTAAGAGAACAAGTTTTAGAATCAAATAGCCTGGGTTCAAATCCTAATTCAACTTTTGCTCCTAAGCCACGAAGATTGTCCTATCTGTAAAAAAAATATTTTTCTGCCTCTTGGAGTTTATGCCAATGTTAAATTATACAGTGCTTAATAGCAGTTAATTTACATGCTAATAATTGCTATTTATTACTGTAGTATAATAACTTTTCCTTGAATGAGTAGATGGCTGAACAAATGAATCAAGGAATGAGAGCTGAGATCTTATATATATATATTTCTTCATCAATTTCCTTCCCACTCCAAGAAAAAATAAAATAGACAGGTGTTGCCATGGAAACAATCCAAGTAAAAGTTATTTTTCTGAATTTGGAAATGATTTGAAATAACAGAACCGGAAAAGGGTGATGGGGATAAACAGCCAATTAAAGAGGTTTTGCCTAAAGGGTTTAGGTACAGGCTTCAGGGGCTTTTCCAAAGAGACTTCTCACCTACAGAAGTGCTTATGCCTGAGGCCATGTATTGTGAATGCTATTAGTGGTTGCAGAGGGTTATTTGAATCCCAGTTTCTAAGGCAAGGCAGCCTGGGGGTTTATGTGACTGAAAATGTCAAGAAATGTAAAGTACATCAAGGTCAAATTTGGAAGATAAAACCTGTCTTCAGGATAAGTTCTATTTTTCACTTTTACATTTGTTCCATGTTCAATTTTATTATCAAAATATTGTTTTTTTCTGAAATCTACCTAAGAGTAAATTACCTTTAGTACTACAGCTTTCTAAAAGATGATTATTTATTGTTTACAGACTGGAATTTTAAATTTTTAGAGGCTAATGGTATTTGAACATTTCAGCTATTACCACAATCACATCTAATGGGCTTAATTTTCTGTCAATGGTTTAGTTGTACTGTGTCAATGTGTGCAAAATTACTGAACATTTTATTGCACGTTCCTGTATGAGAAAAAAATGAAAGTGCTGACAGAAGTAATAAGAACTGTGAGGGCCGGGGATTTAGCTCAGGGGTTCTGGCACCTGCTGCGCAAGCACCAAGTCCCGAGTTTGATCCCCAGTACCAAAAAAAAAAACAACAACAAACAAAAAAAAAAAAAAAAAAAAAAGAACTGTGAAACTGAAACAATTCAATTGAGATGGAACTCATGAGGAATGTAGAAGGCTGTACTTTTTGGGTTTCAATTAGATGCTCACTTTGCTTAAGGTGTTAACTGAGCATTCACTGAGCTGGGAAGGCAAAGAAAATAATTGTCATATATAAATCCTGTAAATAAATTGTCAAAGATTTTATCTGAATGGTTCATTGTAAATAAAGAATAAGTTCCCTTTCAGAGTAAAATCCCCCTATAATCTGTAAATCTATGGTTTGTGTTTTACCTACATAACTTTCCAACTGATGTCTGAAGAAACTGAAATTTCAGATTTGCAGGAGTCTAAGAAAGCGAAGTGAACACTGAAATTGAAACTCATGAACCCTGCCTCTGAAAGTTGGCCAAAGTTCTTAGACCTCTATAAGTATTCAAGAAATTATTACAGTTATTTGCTAAAATATGTTCACTGAACCAAAGTTTACTGAATACCTGTTATGCACCAAATCTTTTGGTAAAGCATAAAAACAGAACAGTGGCAGGCAAAGGGGGCAGGGTAAGAAAATTATACACATAGTATAGTAAATGATTGTATAAGGAGGAAAAAAGGTAACAGTACAATAAGTCAATGAGGAACAGGTGACAAAAATTACTATATGTAGGAT